TGGCCTCAGGTTTGTCTGTGTGGCCTCAGGTTTGTCTGTGTGGCAGGAAATCTCTCAGACCCATACATCCACTCACTTGCAAACGATGTTTTGCAAATGGAACAATGGTAGGCTACTTGGTCAGAAGCTGGTGGCTCTGGTGACTGTTCCTTTTATCCTGTGCTGCTGGATGCTCCCAGAGAGGAGCTCAAAACACAGTTAAGATGGCCAAGTGGAACCAGGCTACCTCTTGTAACCTGTCAGCTTACGCTGGATAACTGATCCTGTGTCAATAACCCCTCGGCAGCTAGGAAGCACAACCTATCATATCAGTTTTAGGCCTGGATTATTGCAGCAAGGGCATTTGTCCTTTCACTGATTTGGTGCCCAGGGAATTTGGGGCTCCACTCTTTTATACTTATTTAGCAGTTCTTAGGATTGAACGCAGGACATTCACACTTATATCCCCAGCCCTTTGTAATTTTTTTTTTTTTTTCTAAAAAATTAAGACAGATTCTAATTACTACACTGCTCAGGCTGGGCTTGAACATGTACTCTTCCTGCATCAGCTTCTCAGGAAGCTGGGCTTACAGGTGTGTGCCATCATGCCTGACCCACCTTGGATATTATTCATTTATTTATGTGCAGCTAGTCTTAATATAAAAGGCAATGCATACTTAAACTTCTTCCTGTGGGGTGGAGGGGAAATTCCTGCATATACCACTGTGTCCACTGGATGGGATAGAGTGGGAAGAAGAAATATTCTGGCCTTCTCCCTTTCTCCACTGTGCTTATCCATGGTATGCTTATGTTCATGCCCTGGAATTACTAGGGCTTTATGGATTAGGAAGGGCACTATGACAGAGAAGTTTACTACAGGGCCAGCATGTGGCCTCTTTTTTTTTTTTTTTTTTTTGCGGAACCAGGGATTGAACTCAGGCCCTTGTGCTTGCCAGGGAAGCATTTATTCTACTGAGCCATCTCCCCAGCCCCTGGCCTCATTGTCTTCATACAGCAGAGAAGGACCAAACCACTGTAACACTGAGAGCTCTTGGGACCTGCAGCACGGCATGCTGCTTGGGAAGTGCAATGGTAGGTCTCAGTGGAACTCACTGGACTTGGGCTACTTCTACCACAGCTGCTGTTAGTTGGAATTATGACCTAATGGAGAGTTTTCTGATTGAGAATTTTCATTCTCATTCCCATTTTTTGCCTCGAAAAAAATGGTTATACATAAGTGGTAAAATATACATAATTTACCACCTTAAACATAAACATATAATATACAAAACAGTGGCTTTAAATGTACTCACAATACTGTGTAACCACCACCACTATCTAGATTCCCAAACCTCCGTCATCTGGAACTGAAATTTTGAATCTTCTGTGCACCGCAGACCCTGCTGGGGGCTGTTCCTCAGCAGCAGCAGTTGGGGATCCTCATTCCACTGAGCCATCTCCCCAGCCCCTTGGTCTCCCTTTTTCTGTGTCTCTATTCCTTAGTGCTGAATACAGGGTTTAATACAAGACTCCTATACAAAGTACTGCTCAGCTGCTCTCTGAGGTTAGTGAGTGACATTGCCTAGGGGGAGAAACGGGACATGGCTGACTCATTCACTCTTAATTTTTTTACTTTTTCATAACAGTTGTTTAAAACTGAGAGTTTCTGTTTAAAGCTTTCTCTTAAAAAGTTTAGCAAGACATAGAAACATCACACAGGATATGAGAGTAAGCTCCTCTACTATAAAGGAATTAACATAAACATTTCAGGTGCTAGACAGCAGATAGAGCACTCATTCAGCACCCCCACAATCCTTCTTTTCCAACCTAACATTATTAGTTGTGGAAAGTAATTTGTTCGATCTGCTATTTTCTGGTATTGGCTATGGAGTTCTCCCAAGGAGAACTTCCCAGGACTTTCTGGGGAAAAAAAATTTCCCATCATGAAAGACAAGCGCTGGAGCATAGGGAAAGGAGGAAGAAACCTACAAGGATTGCAGGGCTCCCCTCCTGCTTTCCCTGAGCCAGGACTATGAGTTTGGAGACCGGGGGTGGGAGGCTGCGCAAGGAGCCAGCTGAGTGCATGTGCTGCTGGCCTCTGCCCCTCCTGCGGGCTCCTCCTCGCTGTGCAGCAGCACCAGCCAGCAGTGTGGCATCTAGTTTGCTCTCGAGCTAGAACTGAAGCAGCTCATTTTCTACTTGAATCTTTGTTTGCTTCCTCGGTACAAAGGAAAACAAAATAGATTTTTCATGGGGTTTCTAGGGGCTGGTGGAGGGTGCATGTGCCATTACTGGATCTTCTTTTGTCACCTTCTGTGAATTGCTAGTTATTTCAAAAAGAAGTTTGATTTTCTTTTTAGGTTTACTTTTTTTTTTTTTTTTTTTGTGGAACTGGGGGTTGAACTCAGGCCCTTGTGCTTGCCAGGCAAGCTCTTATTCTACTGAGCTATCTCCCCAGTCCCTTTAGGTTTACTTTTAATTAACAAGTAGAAATGGATGAGAAACAACTTTATTAAAATCAACTTAAAAAAAAAACAACTCTAAGGCTGCTTGCCAAATTGCAATATACCCTTAAAAATGTATTTATGGTTCCTACCATGGCTTGGGGATGTGTATTTGAAGAATAAAACAATCTACCACCAGCTAAAAAGACCAATTGTTTCTTTTTTTCTCCTTAAAATTAATGCAACTGTATGTAAAGTACTCTATAGAGAATATGTTAAACTTGTTGAACCTCAGCAGTGCAGTTCCCTAGACAAAGCAGAGAGAAAGTTGCTGAGTACACTTCCTCCATGGCTGTTGCTAAGATACAGCCTTCAGGTGCATAAATCAAGTTTCTTTTGTGCAGGAAAGCCAAGTGAACCCTAACACAAGCATGTTTTGTGACAGATGTGGGGATCACTTCCTAGCTACAGCAATGGTCTATTTCACCACTATTACACTCCTTTGGTTTTAGAATGCAGAATTAACTTTGTATGCAGAAAATCCCACTTAGAGATGCAGCCAGGTTTCATAACAAGATGTGCTAGCCCCTTAGCTTTCTCCTCAGCTAGTATGGAGTAATTAAAGGGGACCCTTAAGTTCGTGATCTTTGACCCTGAAGCTGGAGCAGGGATCAGAGGGGTAAAGAGAGACTGAGCCAGACAGCAAACAGAGGATGACAGTGTTTCCTCTGTTTATACAGTTTTGCACTCTTGGGGTGCTTCGGAAATATAAAAAAATGGTTAGGCTGAAAGATAAATACCAATCAAGTAGAACCATATAGATGAGGCTGTTGAGTCTACTATATTTTCTGCAAAGGATTTTGTTATTAACTTACTGACTCCTTACTGTGCTCTACAAGGTTGTTGAACACTTGTAAAAACATTTTGGAATTATGGGACTCTTGCATGATGCCACTACATCAGTGGCATAATATTTCTGAATAATGAACACTGCAAAGAATGATTAGTTTAAAAAATATTTTTAAAAAAATATTTTTGCAGGGCCAGGGAGATGGCTCAGTGGAATAAGCGTTTCCCTGGTAAGTGCAAGGGCCTGAGTTCAATCCCTGGTTCGGC